ACATTGGAGCTGCCTGGGGCCCAGGAGGCGACAGGTGACCAGAGGTCAAGAGAGGAAGGAATGGAGTACCGTAGGGCAAGAGAGGTTCAACTTCCAGGGACAGTAGGAGGAAGCCCAATACATTCCCAGAATAGGTAAGAGGAAGTTGGTGTGGGGGAGCACCAGTCTTGTGGGGAGCTGTATTGGCCACTTTTAGCAGCCATCTCTGTGGTCCTTGCGTGGACACTGCCAAAGAACAGGCCCTTTGGCCAGTACCAGAACCAGAGGGGTTAGGACTTCCTTCAGCTGCCCAGCCAGATCTTGGGAGGAATTCTGTTTGCCTAATGATTCAGAGAAACAAACAAGCGCAGGAATGCTCCAAATCGGTAGCCCCGCCACAAAATCAAACTGACGCTATTCCTCTTACCTCTGATGCTGGGGTGCAGTCCCTGGCCCCAGGCAGGCTAGGCCAGCTCTCGGTTCCTTCTGGGCAGGGTGAAACAGCACTCCTGTGGTCATTGCTTCACCATGTCTCTCCCTTGGGCCCCCCCAAATAAACCTGGAGAAATTTAAGAAGCCTTTCTCCTTTATCAAGGAAGTTCCTGGCCTGGTAAAGGCCCACTGTGCAGCCTGCCCTTTCTGTCAACACCCGAGGCAATTCCTGAAAGTGGCAGCACTGCTCAATCACGCAAGGGCTGTCCCCTTCCACAGTTGGTGCCATTTCTTTCCTGCCTCTTCTGAAGAATGGACTATCAGTCTTTCGCACGAAGCACCCACAAGCCCAATCAAAAAGAACACGCAGTTTTCCCCAAAATGCCAGCTTTGCAATCAAAACTGGACTTGGCAGTAGGCTCAGCCTAGCCCCAGGCTCTCAGGACACCCATGCATCATGTAACTGTGGGATAGAACTGGATGAGAAGCCATCAGGATCATAAAACCTGTTGAATTTTTTTTTCGGTTTTACGAGACAGGGTTTCTCTGCATTGTTTTGGAGGCTGTCGGCCCAGCCCGGCCTCGAACTCACAGAGATCTGCCTGCCTCTGCCTCCCCAGTGCTGGGATTAAAGGCGTGTGCCACCACTGCCTGGCCACCTCTTGAATTTTTATGTATGGTGATTATGCATATGTGTCCAAAACAGGATAGGAAGTGTCTTTATTTTGTGTATGGGGAAGCAGGAACTGTTTTGAACTCCCTGATTAGCTGCAAGTCTCTGGAAAGTGGGGAGTGCCTCCTCCTTGGGAGGACAGTGATGGACTGCCACTGAGCCCCTTCCCAGATACCAGGAGCAAGTGCAGAGGCTCCCATGCTGACAGAGACTCAGATCATCATTGGGCTGGTAGCTCGCTGGGCAGCAGCCCCTACAGATGAGGACTCTGAGGCACAGAGAGGATAATGGGCTGGTCCAGGGCCACATAACTGTCAAGTACCATATGCAGGATGCTATCTTCTGCACAGGAAATAAACCCTGTGACAAAGTACACCCCTGGCTTCCCAGGGAGAGTCCTTAACCACTCACCTCTGGGAAGGAGCAAGAAGCCTGAGGGATCTCACGGCTGCACATTGTTGCTGGGGACATAGACTTCTCTGGATAGAGTCAGCTGATCTGAGGGCCTCAGGACTATGCCTAGAAACTGGAATGGGAAAGTGTGGGCAGTGGGGGAACGCCAGTCCCGGAGCTCCAGATGCTGAGATCTGAGACCCTACCCAGCTCATAAGAAGCCGTGACCGGGTGGGCCGTGAGTCAGGCTATGGCTGGGCTTCGGGAGGCAGGATGCCAGTGGAGTGGATCTGATACCTTAATGCTAAGTGGGTGCAGGCTTGAGGCCTTGCCTAAGAAACCCCTGGGCAGTTCTTGCTGCAGGTAGGGAGTGAGCTGGAGTGAGCATACTGTCCCGTGGAGAACTCAGGCATCTCCCGAGGCAAGCTAGACTTGCAGATGAGGGGTCTTTGTGTGAGGGTCACGGAGTCTTGGCACTTCCAGCCACACCTTCAATTGTCCAGGTTGTCCAAACTGGCTATTTCTTGCCTTACTGTGGGGCTGATCCCAAAGTGATCCAGCTGGCTAGGGCTTAATCTCCACTGAGTCACCAGGCTAGCCTGCCAGCATCAAGGGGCTATCAGATGCTGGCTTCCTGTCCCACATCGGGGAGGCAGAGGCGGGGCTGTAGTCAGACAACAGTGTGACAGTGATGCTCTGGAATGAAGCCATGGCCTCTGCCCTGTTCTGGTCCCTAACATTTCCCTAACTCCATGGCAACAACTGGGGTATCGTCCCAGCCCTTCCTTGCTGGACTACAGTGAGCCATTTACTTATCAGCTCCTGAAGGGAGGGCTGCAGCCCAGCCCATACCCAACCCTAGAACTGAGTAGCCTCAGGAGCTGAGCAAGGGAAGGCTTCTGGACCACTGCCCTGGTCCCGAGCCCCCTTTGCCTCCATGTGCACAGTGTCCTTACTGAATGCCATTTAGGACAGTGAGGCTCCAGCAGCTGAGAACAGTCTTCACCTGTGATCCATCCTGCAAGTCAGGCCTTGCTCGCAAACCCGTCCTGGATCAGTAGCTGAGCAGGCTCTATCCCCGGGTAGCAGGGGCAAGAAGTCAGCCAGACTGACTGGGGCCCATAGTCAGAGTGAGGCTGAAGGTGGGGGCGGGGAGAAGTCACTGGAACCCTACAGGGTGGATTTGTGAATCCTTAGTGTTGAGATGACTAAGTCTCAAGGAGAATATTGGGCCCTGACAAGTGGAATGGCCAACAAGCCTGGTAGCTGATGTCCAGTGACTGAAGTGCCCAGAACAGGGTACTAAAGGTAATTCATCATCCAAAGTGGCCATGACATGACTAGGTAGTCACACCGGCCTGGTTCCCAGAGCAGCCCTTAGAATTCTGTGTGCCATGGCCTAGAGATGGTCTTGTTTGTGAGCCGGTCAAGGGATCAACCCAGCCTCAGACACGGGGTGTGATATCCACTAGATGGTAACTCAGAATGGGTCAAGATGTGATTTGGGCATTTTTTTTGTGCTAGGGCCATGGACCCTGTTGGCCAGGGAGCCTCCTGCCTTGCTAAGGATGTGAGGAAGGCATAACCATGGTCATGCACCCCTCTCAGTCTGGGACTGGTCATCACCTGCAGCTCCTTATGGCCTCCTCAATAGAACTGGTTCCAAATCTCAAAGGCTACACATCCAGCCAGGGCTAGCTTTGCCCACTTAGCCTGCCCACAGCAAGGCTACCCTCCTCACCACTGACCCTTCTCCAAGCTCAGTGCTCAGCGGTAAGACCAGTCCCAGCTCTGTAACAGTTGGCAGTTGTGGCAGGGGGTTGTTGTGTAAACCCCAGTCTGCCTAACTCGGACATCCCATTACCACCCACACCTTTTTCCGTGTGCCCACTCATTCATTCATCCTTCAACTAATTCACTCATCTAGCCACTCTTCCCTCACTCATTTACTTCATTGTCTACTCACTTTTGCATTCGTTCATTCACTCATCTACTTTTGCCCTGATTGATTCATTCATTCACTTACTCACTTTTTCACATGAATCCATTCATTCACTGACTTATTTGCTCATTGATTTACTCATCCATAATTCCTCTGGGGCTCCACAGTCCTGTGATATGTGAAGTGCTCTCCCCTGCCCACAACACACACACACACACACCACACACCACACACACACACACACACCACACACACACACACCATACACACACACACAACACACACACACCACACACACACACCACATACACACACACACCACATACACACATACCACACACACACACACACCACACACACACCACACTCACACACCACACACACACACCATACACACACACACACCACACACACAACACACACACACACACCACATACACACACACACCACATACACACATACCACACACACACACACACACACCACACACACACCACACACACACACACCACATACACACACACCACACACACACACACACACCACACACACACACACACACACACACACACACACACACACATACACACACCAGGACCAAGGAATGTCCTGTAGAAAGGGCAGCACAGAGAACAGGCTTGGAACATGCCTCAAGGGGATCCAGAAGCAACCAGAAAGTTCAAGTGTATGTCTTTCTTTGACCTTTGACCTCTCTCTAGCCGGGAGGGGAGCAGCTTTTCTCCTTCTACTGCCATTCCTCCCCTGATAGCGTTTTTTACTCTGTCTACTTTGTGAGCAACAGAGCTACTGATATTGGCTGAGGGAGTATGGCCACCGGGGCTGTGTGTCCAGTTTAATTCCTGGTGGCCCAATGCCACACATCCTCGGTCTGGGCAAGGGCCCATGTATGATGTTTTCTCATGTGGGCATCAGGACAGTGAGAACGGGCTCCTCTAGGCAGGTCAGGAGCATCTCTCCCGCCCAGTGAGCACTAACTGCCTTGGCTTCTGGCATCCAGAGGCACCCACTGGGTAGATCTGGGCCTCTGCTGCAGCTGTCCCCTTGGGCCTGGAAGCCTGAAGTATAACCCAAGTTTTGGGGAGTATGAAGCTGGGGGTAGCCCTGGTATTTCTGTTGCTTGGTAGTTACTGCCCACAGAGTTCTTCTCCAAGGAAAAAGAGGATGACTGTCCACGACAGCCTTGGGGTAGTCTCAGAGGCAGCATTTGCTTAGCCTGAAAGATGTGTCTATTGAGGTAGCAGGAACTCATGGATTAGAAGGTGGCCTGGGAAAGTCTGGGTGGAGGCTGCTTGCGGAGGACTACACATGTAAGACCTGGGGGAGCCTCATGGAAACGAGGCTCCACCTGCAGACACACCCACCTCTGACTGCTGCCATTGACTGGCCTAAAGTGACTGAGTACCCACTGTTTACCTGGGTGAGGGGAACGATAGGCCTGCCCCACCCACCCATGGAAAGCCACTGGGGCTGGAGCCAGCTCTCAGACTACAAAAGGCAGCTAGTGACTTGAGTCCCTCCTCAGAGGCTGCCAGTGGGGACGTTTCCCCATGCTCCACAGCATGGGTGTCGGCCGGAGGAAGCTGGTCCCACTCTGGGTTCTAGCTCTGGCCCTGGCTTGCGGTCAACATACAGGTAAGATTCAAGTGTCCAGCTTTCCCAGGCCATTTGGAGAGACATTTTCATTTCCTTGTGTCCTGGATCCAGGTGGGCAGTGAAGTTCAGAGCCTTGTCTGGATCCTGACAAGCTAAAGACGTCTATGAGAGGGTCCTGCCCTGCAGCCCTTGTCTGTGGCCTGATAGCTTCAAACGGCCTTCAACTTAAGAGGCTGGGAAATAACTCTTATGTGCAGGGGATTGAGGTTCATCCAATGTGTGTGGGAGCAAAAGGCTGTGCCTCAGAGCCCCCCAACTGGTCATGGCAGGCTCTCAGCCCGCTCAGGTGTCCCATTTGTGACAATTACACCAGCTCCCAAGCCTCTCTAGACTGTCACAACCTCACAAGAAACCAAGCAGGGTGTTCTTGGGATATGACTTCTCCCAGCATGGCTTAGTATCAGATGCAGGCACCAGGAAACTAGACTTTGGGTGAAGGTCAGTCACAACTTTGCTCGAACCCTATTGTATGGGTACGGGGGTGAGTCATTTACCTGCCATCATGGGGACTCTGTGTATCAAGCCATTAGTGAGTGATAAATTATGTACCTCCCTACATCTGCACACTGGTGGCCAGCAGTCTGGGCTGCCTGAGGCACCTGTCCTGTCCTCAACACAGGCCCATTTCCTCTTCTGCAGGCCAGGCCCAGCAGGACTCTCTGAAATCTGACCATGCACATCATTCTGACTTCTCTCTCCTTCAAGGACGTGATGGTGAGTCCTAGCCTTTTGTCCCTGCTGTTCCTGCCATATCACACCCCCCAACTCTACTTTAATGTGACCTTGGGTCTCCCAGGTCTTCTTGCCTTAATGGATCCTCAGCTAGCACACTGAGGAGTGAGGACTTGGAGCTGAAGTATACTGTGTTATACATGGCTGCGGTCAGCTACCTCCTGTCTCTAACTTATCCAGCTCGTGGGGGCATCACAGGCATCCGTGCTCAGGCCCTGAGGGAGATGGAAAAAGTCTGTCAGGCTGAGTGGGCTATGCCCTCTGCAGCATGGGCTTATTGATTCACCCATATAGATCCTACCTCCATCTCTGTTGCTTTGATTTACCTGTTTCAATATCATATTCACTCTCTGGGCCTTGACCTAGGAGCTGGGGGATTGGCCACACATGCCAAAGCAAGGGGTCTTGTGAGGAGTTGGGGCCCTGTCCATGTCCCCAAACTGGTTAAAAAGAGGTTGAGCTGCTGACCTAGATTTGGGCATTTGTGAGGACCAGGACACAAGTCCCTATGTGCAAACAGAAGCTTCTGGTCTGTGGCCACTAAGGACTGATGGCTCCAGGGGCTTCCACGGGACAGTGAGGGGAGAATGCTGTGTAGACCTTAGGCTGGGCCATGCCCTACCTGGGCCTCAATAGACTGTAGAGCCCAAGCTGAACTGGAGACCTGGGAGTCTGTTTCCTCTGGGCCACAGTGACACTACCATCTCACTCAACACTGTGCATCCCATGACCCAAGCCTCTGTCTCCACAGCTGCCCCACTCCATGGGGTAACCATCATCCCACCTCTGAAGACCATCCCTGTGGTACGAGGTGAGTGAACCCCAAAGCCTGTCTGGGAAGGTGTTCCCACTTAGCTGGGGTCCTCGCCCTTAGACCTGAAGAGTTAGTTTAGAAGGGGCTCTTTGATTCCCGGGTAACCATAAGCATAGGGAAGGAAGGTCATTCAAAGCTGCTGTGAGCTGGTCCCAGGACTTCCTACACCAGATGGGATCTTAGATGCCCACTGTAGGCAGTATCCTGTCTGATCCCAGCGCCACATGGCAAAGATACCCAGTGTGAAAGGCAGAGCATGGAGACACATCAGGAACCAGAACAGTGCCTCCAAAGCCTGCCATTGCTCTGGTCCACAGCTCTGAACCCAGCACATACCGGGCGGGTGTGCAGCACATGGGGAGACTTCCACTACAAGACCTTTGATGGCCAAGTCTTCCGCTTCCCTGGCCTCTGCAACTATGTGTTCTCCGCACACTGTGGAGTTGCCTACGAGGACTTCAATATCCAGCTACGTCGTGCCCGGGAGTCTAATTCCACCACTCTGAGCAGGGTCACCATGAAGCTTGATGGCCTAGTTGTTGAGCTGACCAAGAGCTCCGTATTAGTCAATAACCACCCGTGAGTCTGGGGCAGTATTGGTTGGGTGACGGAGGTGTTGTATGGTGAGGGGGGGATTAGGACATCAGGGTTGTGGAAGACAGGGGTTGTTAGAAGACTTCACTGTCAGGAGAGAAGCTGAGCAGGTACCCCCCACACCCCCACCTCCCCCCCGTGCTCCAGCTGTCCCTTTAGCTTGTCCTTAATACTGGCATTCCAGGTCCCATGCCTCTGTCACACACATGGCTGCAGGGATCTTCTCTCCTGGGGTCTCTCTTGTCTCCTTGTCCCCCAGTGCCATCTCCCTACTCTCTTACAGGGTCCAGCTCCCCTTCAGCCAGTCTGGGGTCCTCATTGAACTCAGCAGTGGCTACCTGAAGGTGGTGGCCAGGCTGGGCCTGGTCTTCATGTGGAATGACGATGACAGTCTCCTGGTGAGAGGGAGTAGAATCTCTTGGTGGTGGGGAATGGGTGTGGCTGGGCAGAGCCTTCTGGTGAAATGGGGACAACGGGTGGAGTCTCCTAGTGGGATCAGGCAGTGGGTTAGGAGAGGGGCATAGGCTACACAGCTAGTGAAGGTGGGCACCCAGGCATACACAGGTCCTGTGTATGTGAGATGCTTGCTTCAGCCCTGCTGAGTCATGGCTTCCTTTGACTTATGGGGAGGGTCTTTTAGCTTGTGTCTCCTCTGGGAGCCCTCACCCCTTTTTCTGGGAGTCTACACATCATATCCTGGGTTATATATAGTAGGGTCAGGTGTCTGATGTGTCCTCCAATTTCAGCTGGAGTTGGACACCAAGTACGCCAACAAGACTTGTGGTCTCTGTGGAGACTTCAATGGCAGCCCAGAGTCAAGCGAGTTCCTTTCCCACAGTAAGTCCCAGGAAATGCCCAGGGTCCCAGGAGGTTTAGTCTCCCAGTATCTCATGTATCTCTATGTGCATACAAACAAATGCTCTCTCTCTCTCTCTCTCTCTCTCTCTCTCTCTCTCTCTCTCTCTCTCTCTCTCTCTCTCTCTCTCTCTCTCTCTCCTCTCCCTTTCCCTCTCCCACTCCCTCCCTCCTTGTCTCCCCCCTCCCTTCTACACATATACACACACATGCCCACACACATGCCTGCAGCTCACACAGGCACACATATACACACAGGCTTCTCTCTCCACAATTACAGCTCATGTGTAAGTGCACACATGCGCAGTTGCACACACCCACACTCATGTATACATGTACTCTCCTGGCACAGATACACCCCACAGGTGTAGGTAGGAAACAAGTTACCTGTCAGACCTCTGGCTCTTGGTACCCCTCTTCTGGTGACACAAACCCTCATGTGGAATTATACCTGCTGTTTTCACCCTGAGGGGATCATGTTTCTTTACCTCCAACCAGTGGCATCACAAATGTGGCTGCATCAGCCAGATACTCCAACATCCCTCCTCTGTCATTCCCCCAAAGTCCCACATAAGCTGTAGATGACAGAGCCTGCCTATGCATATGGCTACCCCTGTCAGATCAGCCTGTGTGCAGGGTCAGCCAGAGTCTGAGGGCTGGTGGACTGTTAAGTTCACTCTACAGTCCTCTCCACTCACTTCTGTTGCCATAGGAACTCCAAGCTCTTTCCGGGCTCCTCTTGTGGGTTCTAGATATCAGCATCCCAGGAAGTGAGCCTGGGGAAGTCAGGCAGGGATCACATGACCACATGGGTATTCTCAGTGGGGAGCCTTTTGGACTTGGCTGTTGGGATGATAGACTGGGGGCCTGGGTCCTGTAGACAGAGCTGCTCTGGGCTTCCTGCAGATGTTAGACTGACACCCCTTGAGTTTGGGAACCTCCAGAAGATGGATGGCCCCACAGAGCAGTGCCATGACCCCCTCCCTGTGCCCCAGAAGAACTGCTCCACCAGATCTGTGAGTCTTGAGAGAAACAGGCGGGCAGGGTAGGGAGGGGCCTTTGGGTTCTGGGATAACCCAGGTAGTTCTGGGAAGCCTGGGGTCTGAACTGAGCATGGGCCCTGCCCTCGTTCAGAGCATCTGTGAAGAGATCCTGAAAGGTCAGCTGTTCTCAGACTGTTCAGCCCTGGTGGATGTCAGCAGCTACCTGGAGGCTTGCCACCAGGACCTCTGTCTCTGTGAAAGCCCTGACCTGACCAGCTGCATCTGCCATACCCTGGCTGAGTACTCCCGGCAGTGTGCCCATGCTGGAGGACAGCCCCAGGACTGGCGGGGTCCCAACCTCTGCTGTGAGTGCCCTCAGTGCTCTTCCTCACCATCATAGCATCATCCAGCAGGTAAGTGGGACCCGGCTTGATATGATTTGTCCTTCTGGTCTCCCTGCAGCTCAGACATGTCCCCTCAACATGCAACATCAGGAATGTGGCTCGCCCTGTGTGGACACCTGTTCCAACCCCCAGCGCTCTCAGGCCTGTGAGGACCACTGTGTTTCTGGCTGCTTCTGTCCTAAGGGTAAGATGAAGTCTCTACCCCACCAGCCCAAACACAGGACCTCCAAAGCACAGAGCTGCATGGGAGGTCTTGATGCCATTGGTCAGCCTGGGTGAAAGCTCCCTGTGACCCTGGCCCAAAGTGTCTCTGTGCTGCCAAGGTTTACTGCGACTACAGGATGACACATAGTCACATGGATTTGCTTTCTACAGGGATGGTGCTTGATGACATCAACCAGACTGGATGTGTCCCTGTGTCCCAGTGTGCCTGTCTGTATAATGGGACATCTTATGCACCGGGTACCAATTACTCTACTGACTGCACCAAGTGGTAGGTCTTGGGATCTCCATCCAAGAGCCTGACATACGCCAGGGTTACTTCCCCAGGATGTGTGGACTGATGAGGTCCCAGGCTGCTGTGATCAATGCTCTATGTGCAGGAACCTTCAGTTTAGGTGGCAAAAGCATCAGAACTGTTGTTCCTGGAACTAGTATACAGTATGTCCTTCTTCCCACCCATAGCACATGCTCTGGAGGTCGGTGGAGCTGCCAGGAGGTCCCTTGCCCTGGCACCTGCTCAGTGTTGGGAGGTTCCCACTTCTCCACATTTGATGAAAGGCAGTACACAGTGCATGGGGACTGCAGCTATGTGCTGAGCAAGGTGAGACCTATGCTCTCCCGAGGCCTTTGGTTTTGCCGGGGGAAGGGGGGCGCTCTCCAAGTATCACTAGCATAGGCCTCCTATCACTACTACACCAGGGAGACCTCTAGTGATGAATGACCGATTCATGCTCATTGCTTTGGCCCTTCTGACCTTGTCTTTCTATGGAGACCTATTACTGTACTTATCTATTTTTGCTTATGTGTATGCATGTGTCTTTCTGTGTGTACATGTGCATGGTACCCATGGAGGCCTGAAGAGGCATCCGATTCCTTGGAGTTGGAGTTACAGGTGGTTGCGAGCAGCCCAATGTGGGTGCTAGGCACGGAACTTGGAGCCCTTTGCAAGAGCAGTACATACTTAGTCATTGGTCCATCTCCCCAGTCCCTGCCCTATTTTATATTTAGATCAGTTTTATGCCCACAGATAAATTAAATAGAAAGTCCAGCCGACTCCCAAGCCTCACCATCCCCAGCAGTCCCCCCGTACTAACACCTTGCTTTAGTGTGATCCATTGGTTACAACTGGAAGACCAGTCAGCTATTGCTGTCCACAGCAGTGTCCATCAGGGTCACTCATGAGCATGACCTAGGATTTGACAAATGTGAAATGTCCTGTATCTACTACCCTAGTGTCACTCAGTAATTCACCATGCTGGCTACCCTGGACTCCATGTGAGCATCTCCCTTCCCACCTGGAAACCACTGATTTTTTTTAAACAAAACAAAACAAAACAAAAACAAAAACCCTGTTTTTCTTTTAAAAATACTTTGGTTTTGAGAATTTCATCTATGTACTCAATGTATCATCCACCTCCTCCCCCCCCTTCTGACTCCCCTCAGTTTTCCTTTAGCACACACATCTCCCTCACAACTTCACTTTTAGAATTATTGCACACAGTAGGTGCATTAAGTCCCTTTGTTAGGGGCTAGGGAGACTCATGGCATGGGCTCCTAGGAGCCCTTCCTCCTAAAATCAAATGGCTGCCTCTTAGAGTCTATGACAGTGGTGGACCAGGAATTTGCTGCGAGGGGAGGCAGCATGGACTGGAGGAGAGGGGAGATGAGGTGGGAAGGGGTTTGGGTGGCATGCAAGGACCTGTGTCGCCCCCTGCAGCCCTGTGACAGCAATATCTTCACTGTGCTGGCCGAGCTTCGAAAGTGTGGACTGACAGACAGCGAGACTTGTCTGAAGAGTGTGACATTGAGCCTGGGTGGGGGCCAGACGGTGAGTATCGCAGGGAGGGCTGAGGGGAGCTTGGGCAGAGGCAGGTCCTGGGGTGGGGTTGGGCTAGAAAGAATATATTCATATGGCCGGTCACCTGGATTCACACCCCGGACAGTGAGTGCATCCACTGTGTGTGGATTCTTCTGGGGACTACCCGTAAGTGGAACATTGCAGGTGTTTGTACCAGTTGACCCCAGGAAAGAGGACTCAAGCATCTCTATCCAGTACAACTCCATTGCAGTTATATTTTATAAATTAACTTCTGTTTTTATATTACTTAAACTGTGGTTCTTTGGAAAGCTTAGAAAATCAGGGTAATTTTCTTGGGACATTAGTTTACCACACGGAGACTACATCTTTGTAGGCCAGGGTCTTCCAGACCTAGCAAGCACACTTTACAGTCTGTGCGGACTACCAGGACACAGTTGGAGATATGTTGCTTCAGTCCCATACTGACCCCAGTTGACTCTGGAATTGCTTCTAGGTGGTCATGGTGAAAGCCACTGGAGAGGTCTTTGTGAACCAGATTTATACCCAATTGCCAGTGTCTACAGGTGAGGGCTGCTTGTGAATCTAAATGGTGTATCTCCACATATGGGACATCCCCACACTGAAACCCTCATCTTCTGCCCACAGCCAATGTTACCCTCTTCCGGCCTTCAACCTTCTTCATCATTGCCCAAACCAATCTGGGTCTGCAGCTTGAGGTCCAGCTGGTGCCCATCATGCAGGTGTTTGTGCGGCTGGCACCTGAGCTCCGGGGTCTGACCTGCGGTAAGAAGCACTGGCTCTGGGCCTGAGCCCATTCCTTTCTAAGAACCTACATGGGCCTCAACCTGCTCTCCTGTCCCCAGGGCTCTGTGGGAATTTCAACAGTATCCAGGCTGATGACTTCCAGACCATCAGTGGGGTTGTGGAGGGCACAGCAGCTGCCTTCTTCAACACCTTCAAGACTCAGGCAGCTTGTCCTAATGTCAGGAATATTTTCGAGGACCCCTGTTCGCTCAGCGTGGAGAACGGTGAGTGTAGCTGTTGGTCTTTGTTCTGTTGAATGCTTAGGGGTTGGTTTACTTGCTTACATTTCTGAGCTGGTTACTCTCCCGAGAAGCATTTTCTTAGCAAACTCTGACCTGGCCTGGTGTCCAGCTGTCCACCCTGAAGTGGTGAACAGGCAAGTTAGTGTGTAGTGTATTGTGTCAGTCACACATTAAAGAAACCCCAGGGAGGGCACCAACATGCGTAGATGTCGTATTAAGGAATGAAAAAGAAAGCCTCCTCTTGGAATAGTTTGACTAAAAGTGAGCCCAAATTTGAATCTTCCATTTCTCTGCTGGTGTTTTTCACTGTTTGTAGTCAGTGGCCTGTCTGTTGTATTTGCTCTGTCTTTGTTGCCTGTTTGTAACAAAGGGTTTAGCCCCATATTATGGAGCAGCAGGAAAATATGGCATGGGGAAGGAATGAGGGATTCTTTTCCATAGAAATTTTTAGCAGAGTTTTACAAAGAAAAAAGTAGAGTCACAGATAGTTAGGAACCTCATCTGCTTCACTATGTACACAGGACATTGGATATTAGGGGCCCTGCTGGAGGGTAAAAGAAAGGATACAACCCTCTAATACAGTTGTGACATTGTCCAGCCCACTGAGTAGGGTTGAGGAGGTGGGGTTCGGTATCAGCTGGTACTTCCCCCTTTCCCTCTGTCTTTTGGTCCAGAAGTCTTGACTATTGTCTGTGGTAATGGCCATTCATGTTCCTAGAAGGTGAGAGCTCTGGGGACATAGGAAAGGAGAGACACAACGACTATAGCTTTTCCATACCTCATGTATGTTGCAATGACACCTGTGGTACCACCTGCAGTATGGTTCTTAACCCACGCCCATGATGTCTGCACAGAGATGCAAGATGTTGCAAACCCCAAGCTGGGGAAACCCAGGGTCTTGGGTGAATAAGTAGCTGATTGGTTCTCTTCTATTTACAGAGAAGTATGCCCAGCACTGGTGTTCTCAGCTGACTGATGCCAGTGGCCCATTTTCCCAGTGCCACACCACCGTGAACCCCAGCACCTACTTCTCGGTAATGCCCACTCCGAGCTTCTTTGGCTAGCTAGGACCCCAGCACTGCATTGTGTGTCCCCTCTTGGGAGGACCAGAAGACCCTAGAGGGAAGCAATTGACAGGCAGTAGGTGGCAGGGATATTCCCCCAGTATGTCTCTCTGGTTCCGTTCCTGACATCCATGTTCCTTCACTTACTCACTCATCACTTGTTCACTGAGCTTAGATCAAGCCTCTGGTCTACACTAGGAACAGGGCTAAGCATGATGCTTTTGAGCAATGTGAGTAATAGGACAGTAAGGAAGTCGAAGTGTTCCAGGGCTGGACCTGGTGGGCCACAGAGATAAAGGGCCAGGGTCTTCCCAGAATCCATGTCCTAGAGGGAAGGTTGGGTACATGTGAGGTATCAACATTAAAATGAACTACAGAGGAATGGGGGATGGGGCAGTGTCCGGAGGAAGGTAAGGAAGGTGGGACTATGTTGGGGTGTGTGTGTAGGGAGGATGCAGTCAGATGCCAGGCTCCTGGATGTGAGGCTGGGTCCCTAATGCTCTGGTGTTCCCATCCCCAGAACTGCATGTTTGACACGTGCAACTGTGAGAAGAGTGAGGACTGCATGTGCGCGGCCCTGTCCTCCTATGTGCATGCTTGTGCCGCCAAAGGCGTGCTGCTCAGTGGCTGGAGGGATGGCGTCTGCAGTGAGTGTTCTGTGGGCAAGCTGGGCTCTCTTTCTCTACAGGCACAGGCCAGGGCTCCCACCTATTGCCTAACAGCTGATTGGATGCTCCAACGGCCCTATCACTATACCAGTCTCTGAAACTAAGGGAGACCCAAGCCATTGTGATCAAGATATTGTCTGGGGGAGCTGGAAAGGCCTTGAACTGCTAGGCCCTCTCTTGTTGATTGCTAGGATATGTGTCCACCAGTGTCCTAAGTGCCCCTTCCTTCTGCTCCCACACAGCAAAGGCTACAACTACCTGCCCCAAGTCGATGACCTACCAATACCACATCAGCACCTGCCAGCCCACCTGTCGTGCTCTGAATGAGGAAGATGTCACCTGCCATGTCAACTTCGTCCCTGTAGATGGTTGCACCTGCCCTGCAGGCACCTTCTTGGATGATTCAGGAAAATGTGTGCAGGCCACCAGCTGTCCCTGCTATCACAGGGGATCCACAGTCCCCAACGGCGAGTCTGTGCATGACAGTGGGGCCATTTGGTAAGACTCTTAGGCCTGGCAGACATTGTTCCCAGAGGACCTCTAGTCACCCTGCTCCATGCACCTGTAATCATGCAGACAAGGAGGACATGGTAGGGATTCATGGGGCCCAGAGCAGATGATGTTCTAACAGTTCTCTGCTTACAGCACCTGCACCCAAGGAACACTGACCTGCATCGGAGGTCCTGCCCCGACTCCAGGTGAGGCTGTGAGGGAGCCCATCAGCTCTGGGAGGATACTTGCAAAGACATGTCAGGGTTGATGCCCATCCCAAGGGAACAGAACTGGGGTTAACATTAAGTTTCACTATGTCTGGTGTAGTCTGGGCCTTGAGCTCAGGAACAGGGGAGATGAGAGTGCAGATACTGTGCATACGTAACCATGAAAGCACTCACTGTGCACACACACACACACACACACACACACACACACACACTCCAGCATGCATAACACACATATGCATGCACCCTGCCCTCCCATTACAGAGCAGTCACATGCTTGGCTGCCTGTATGGAAAGGCTTAGATGTCACACAGCACTGACCTCCCTCAGGGAAAGCTTGGCAGGGTTGGACACAATCACCTCACTGGTCCCCTTCCTTCTCTAGTGTGTGATGCACCCATGATCTATTTTGACTGCCGCAATGCTACACCTGGGGACACTGGAGCTGGATGTCAGAAGAGCTGTCACACCCTGGACATGACCTGTGTAAGTGACTTTGCCACTCCCTAATAACTCTCCCTAGGAACTTCTTGATGGTCCCCTTACTTCCTTGACCTCTCCTGCTAAGTTATCTTTGGAGACCATTAGGTCCCCTCATGGAGGCTCTTGGAGCAGAGCAGCAGGGCTCTCCAATGCTGAAGGCCTTCTGGGCAGCCTGGCTAGTCTGTGTTCCCAGAGCACCCCTGAGTACCCTGAGGTTGGGCTCCCTGGTCCCATGGCACCTGCAGTCCTACAGACAAAGAGGACATGTCAGGCCTAGACATCCATCCACATCCAGTCCCACTCACCTTGTCCATACGTCCTACAGTACAACTCCGAATGCGTGCCTGGCTGTGTGTGCCCGGACGGGTTGGTGGCAGATGGTAATGGAGGTTGTATTGTTGCTGAGGACTGTCCCTGTGTGCACAATGAGGCCACTTACAGGCCTGGAGACACCATCCGAGTGGGCTGCAACAACTGGTATGTGAGGGTCACAGCAGGAGAGGTGGGTATCCAAGCTGTCACCAGGCAGAGGTCCTTATTAGGAATGGGCTAAACTCCAGCCTGGCCTCTGATGGACACACACGGCAGGGAATCTCAAGGCCTCTGGCTCTGTGCTTTGGGTTCCCATAAGGCATCCCCACAGAGTCTCTGGGAGGGTTCCCATTCCCGTGGGAGCCCTCAGCTGACTCCACCTTCTATGCAGCACCTGTGAGAACAGGATGTGGAGGTGCACAGACGAGCCCTGCCTGGCCACCTGTGCTGTGTACGGGGACGGCCACTACCTCACTTTCGATGGGCAGCGCTACAGCTTCAGTGGGAACTGCGAATACACACTGCTGCAGGTATGCCTGGATGACAGCCTCACCTGTGGCCGCCACAACCACAGGTACTCACCGCCCTTCCCTGGTCCCTAATGACCTTCTGTTCCTCCAGGACAACTGTGGTGGGAACGGCAGCTCCCAGGATGCCTTTCGTGTTGTCACCGAGAACATCCCCTGTGGTACTACAGGAACCACCTGCTCCAAGGACATCAAGATCTTCCTGGGGGTGAGTGGAATGGAGCTGGCAGAACACCCTGGGGGTTCCACAGTGGTGCAAGGGTGCCCAGGTGGGGGTGTGGTCCTGGATAGGCCCTGAGGACCCCTTGTCATGCAGAACTATGAGCTGAAGCTGAGTGATGGCAAGGTGGAGGTGGTCCAGAAGGGCGTGGGGCAGGAGCCCCCCTACTATGTCCACCAGATGGGCATCTACCTGGTGGTGGAGACCGACGTTGGCCTGGTGCTTCTGTGGGACAGGAAGACCAGCATCCTTCTCAGACTCAGCCCTGAGTTCAAGGTGAGGCTGAGCCAGGAAGCACTGCTGTTACTCCTCTCAGGGGCTCGGGCATACATGGGACTGGGGACATGACAGAGAGAGGCAGAAACACACGCAGAGCTAGAGGGGGTGGGGAGAGACAGAGACAGAGACAGAGACAGAGCTAGTCAGAGATGGACAGAGGGTGAGATCGAGACACACAGAGAGAGGTAAAGGAAGACAGAGAAAGGCAGTCCCGGGAGACAGCTCAGTGGGGAAAGGTGCTTGTTGACAAGCTTGATGGCCTCAGGCTCACGGTCCAATCCCCAGGACTCACACGGTAGAAGAGGCAACTTCCACGAGCTGTTTTCTGAATTCAACAAGAGCTCTGTGGCACACACATCCCTCATAAATACATACACAATAAAATTAAAATGATAAGTTTTTGAGAGAGAGGTGAGTTGGAGGACCTTTAGAAGAGCAGTGAGGAGATCTCCTGCTGTGTGTGTTTCTGTTTTTGTAGCATAAGCTGGGTGGCCAGTTTTCTCTTGTATCTGGACTCTAGGAGCCCAAGTGGTGTGTCAATAGGACTGCAGCCCCTCTGGAGGCTCAGGAGGGTCTTTATTGCCTTTTTAGCCGCTGGGGATCCAGGTATCCTTGGATTGTGGCTTCATTATCGCAGCCTCCATGTCTGCTGTTGCATGGTTGACTGCGTGTAGCTGTCTATATTTTTCTCCTTTAATAAGGACAGTAGACAGGAGATGCAGGACTCACCCTGCCTTAGTGAGACCTCATCTCACTGGACCACATCTTCCCAGGGTCTATTTCTAAGAAGACCCTACTCCCAAGCCCCAAGGTTAGAGAGGGACAAATGTGGGGCCGCCGTTCCCCTCACTACAGTGTTTTGGACTGCAATTCAAGTTAGACTCTAAGCTGAGTGCCACGGCTCCATACTCACACTATAAAGTCACCGTCTGGGTGGAGGGAAGGACAAAGCAGTCTCATGGGAAGAATGGAGAATGAGGTGCCTGGGCTGCCAAGCTGGGGCACTCACAGGTCTCCTGGGATGTCATGAGCAGGGGGTGTGGTATGAAGACAGATAAAGATGGGCACAAATCCCATGCATCATCACTAGATACCAAAGGGCCTTATAAACTCATACTTGCTCCTCTTCCAGGGCTCATCCTTCAGGACATTGGTGGTAACAGAGCGAAGTGGGTATCAGGGTCCAGGAATGGGGCTCTGGCCCATATCTCTAATCTCTGTGCTTCTATAGGGCAAGGTCTGTGGCCTGTGTGGGAATTTTGATGACAATGCCATCAATGACTTCACCACGCGCAGCCAGTCTGTAGTCGGTGACATGCTGGAGTTTGGAAATAGCTGGAAGTTCTCTCCATCCTGCCCGGATGCCCTGGTGCCCAAGGACCCCTGCTCTGCCAACCCTTACCGCAAGTCCTGGGCCCAAAAGCAATGCAGCATCATCAACAGTGAAACCTTCACCGCCTGCCATGCCCATGTACGGCAGTGGGGCTGGGTGGTCTCTGGATTTTAAGATGGAGAAACCACCAGTCAAGGGTGTGGGTGTCTGGGGGTCAGGAAACCACATGCATATACCAGCATGGGTTATGCTTTGGGAACTATTAATTCTGAACATGGACTTAGGAAGCTTCAGGTAGTTGTCAGAGCTTGAAGACTTTGTCTCTTTCAGGTGGAGCCCACCAAGTACTATGAAGCCTGTGTGAGTGACGCATGTGCCTGTGACTCAGGAGGTGACTGCGAGTGTTTCTGCACTGCTGTGGCTGCCTATGCCCAGGCCTGCCACGAAGTGGGAGTGTGCTTGTCCTGGAGGACACCAGACATCTGCCGTGAGTGGGGCTCTGTCTGTGTTGCTGAAGGGTGGAACTTGGCATGAGGTGGGTGATGGCCTTTCCTGCTTCTCCTGGCTTGGTTCTGGTCAGCACACACACACACACACACACACACACACACACACACACACACCTCCCTCCAGTGTGTATGGTGTATGTGTGCATCTGCGTGTGTCCTGCACATCCAAGTGCACAAACACTGTTGTCACTCAACAGATGGCTCTAACATGAGCAGCTCCAAGGGCTGAGGACTGCAGGGGTTGAGCTAGGATGTCTGCTATGAGTGCTCTGGGAGGGACTGTGGTCCCAGGCAGGAGAGGCCAACTCTGTGTGTCCATCAGGATACAGTGAAGGGCCAATAGTTTCCTGAGGAAAATGAACTGAGGGTGAGCATCTGTAGGAGGAAGCTTGGCCTCAGAGCACGTTCTGCATTGGAGGCATCGGTACACCTTCTTATGCACGGTCCATGTGAAGCCCTGAGGGAGCAGTGTGACTGGGGGCAGCTGCTGTGGCTGGAGAGCCCCATTCGATGTTTGCCTTTCTGGAACCTCTATTAGTCTGAAACCCATATCTGAATTCCCTTTTCTCAGGGTGGGGTAGAAAATGGTTTAGCAGACCCTAGGTCCGCTAAAGGTTTACCCCAGTAAATCTCCCCCCTTTCCAGCACTATTCTGTGACTACTACAACCCAGAGGGTCAGTGTGAATGGCACTACCAGCCATGTGGGGCCCCCTGCATGCGCACCTGCCAGAACCCTAGTGGACATTGCCTCCATGATCTGCATGGCCTTGAAGGTAGGTTGGAGGCTGAGCTGGAAGGAGCAGGAACTGTTGGATTCCTAGGATCTGGACTGGGGTATAACCTGGAATCTGAGGCCTAGAGCCTTCTTTTGGGACCCTTGGTTGGGATAAATTCTGCCTGATCCCTCTAGGAGCCTTTATGGCTTCAACCTCAACCACTAGTGTGGATGAGGCTGGACACTGGGACAGACCTGGGCCCTGGTGTGAGAGGGCTTGTTGGGAGACTGTCTGGAACTCAGGTCTTCTTGGTCCACAGGCTGCTACCCCAAGTGCCCACCAACAGCCCCCATCTTTGACGAGAGTACGATGCAGTGTGTATCCAACTGCACAGCCGTTCCCTCGCCTCCACCGCCGCGTCCCTGCCGCATCAATGGAAAGTTGTACCGGCCAGGTGCGAAAGTACCTTCAGACAAGAACTGCTATTCCTGGTAAGTCATTCACCCAGAGTGACATAGGACCTGGAACGCCATGGGGAATCCAAGCCAACCTTATCCACAGCATCAGCCTGGGGTCTAGAAGTACCCTCAACCCAAGGTTGCATGTACCGAGGGGAAAGAGTCACACTACCAGCCCGTGGGGCCCCTTGCATACACACCTGCCAGAACCCCCGTGGTCTGATCTTCATCTAGGAGGGAGAACACTCTTGTCTTAGGCTCAGTTGAGAGGAAGGATACCTTGGCTTGCAGCTGAGCTGGGAAGAAGGATGCCTTTGGCCTAAGGCTCATGTGAAAAGGGAGGATGCCCTTGACCTAAAATCCAGTTGTGTGTGAATGCAGTGGTGTCCTCAGTCAAGATGTCCTCTTAGGGATGAGGGGACAATGCCCATCAAAGTCCACCTTATTCCTATTGGCTATTGACAGGGGTGATGTTTGAGAGAGTGTGACCTTAGCCTCCAGCTAAGGGCTATAACTGGCTGCTTCATCACCAACACTGAGCACACTGGGTTCAGAACATTCCAGTTCCCACACACTCAGTCCCACGTCTTTCTCTTGACAGCATTTGCAAGGAGAACGGTGTGAGCTGTAGTCATGACGCTTCTGGTGAGTACCTGCATTCATCTCTGAGCTGGAGACAGAGTGGGAGGAGTCACTGCCGGTGTCATAGCACCCCCTGACAGGCTAAATGTCTATTCCCCACAGCCTGTGTCTGTACCTACAATGGGCAACACTTCCATCCTGGGGACATCATTTACCACACGACAGATGGCACGGGAGGCTGCATCTCTGCATATTGCAGGGCCAACGGCACAATTGAAAGGAATGTCGACACCTGCAGCTCCACCACTCCCATGCCCCCGACCACTTTCTCCTTCTCCACACCAGTAGGTAAGGCGGGTGTTACTGGTGGCAGAAAATGCTAGGCTTAGAGGGGGTGTCTCTCTTCCTGCTGATTGGTACTGTTTCTCTTGCAGAATGTTAGGCAATGGCTAGCTCTGGGTGTTGGTGGCAGGCCCTGAGGCTAGAGAAGGGGCCCAGGAGTTGGGCACCAGGAGCATGGGTACCCTGTTTTTATCTCACAGCAGTAAGGGGTCAATCTGCCTGACCCACTCTGGCAGGCCTGGTGTCCATGGCACCATTTTCTGTAGCTACTGGAGTCGATCTCTAATTGTGGGCCTTGGCTTAGAGGTTCTAAGCACATGTGACCTCAGGCCAGTACTTGGATGAACATGAGAGTTTTCCTGGAATTCATAGCTGCCTGCTTGTCTTATGCTACATGGGCCTTTATATCCCTGATGTCTCACCCTGCTGGGGGTTTGTCAGAGCCCCCTCAGCTAGTTTTGAGGGGTTATAAGCATGTAGATTCTGCTCAGGGGATGGCCAGGAGAGCAGGTTCTCTTTAGAGGCGATTAATTTGTCTGTTCATGGATCCATTATACTTTCCTTCTGTCCACCAAGAGGTAGGTTCTGAGTGATATGGCTCTGATGTTCAGTTTTCAAGGTTAGTATGACCATAGTGCTGGGACCCAAGGCAGCTGATGTATGAGGAGGAAGATGTGACCAGGGACCGGGTAGACAGCCCCAAGGCTCTAACGCTCACTCCTGTGACTTTTGTCCACAGTCATGACTTCAATGGCACCCTCCAGCACATATCCCAGCTCTGCCCCGAGTGTAGTGTACACAGGGTCCCCAGGCACAGCTGCATGGACAACAAGCAGCATGGTGTCTGTGAAGACACCTGCCACAGCCTCCACTTTGACCCCTTCTGCTATGGCCTCCACTGCGACCATGCTGGGGTGCCAGGAGGAGTGCGTCTGGTCTCCCTGGATGGATGTCAGCCGTCCTGGACGTGGTATTGACAGTGGTGACTTTGACACTCTGGAGAACCTCCGTGCCCACGGCTACCATATCTGCCAAGCACCAAGGGCAGTGGAGTGCCGTGCAGAGGACACCCCTGAGGTCCCACTTCATGCAATAGGGCAGCGTGTGGAGTGCAGTACAACTGTTGGACTGACCTGTCACAACAGAGACCAGGTGTCAGAGCTCTGTGACAACTACCAGATCAGAATTCAGTGCTGTACCCCCATCAGCTGTCCAGCCTCTAGTGGTCCAACCCAGACCACCCAATTGATAACCTCTAGGACAACTACAAAGGGGCCCAAAACCTCTGTAGCCCCTGTCACCTCCACTGACCTTGCAGATAGCACAGTTATCTCAGGCCCCTCAACCCATGCTCCACGTCCTCTCCCCTCTTCATCACACCCCTCCTCATCAGCTTCAAGTCCATCTCCTCCTGCCACAGTTAGTTCTACCACTGTGAAAACAACTCTGTCCACCACTAGTCCAATTCCAGAGCCAACTTCAGCCACATCATCTGTGTCCATTGCAACCTCAGGGTCTACCATAGCCTCTCTTGAGACTACCCATGAATGCAAACGGGAGGTCTGCAATTGGACTGATTGGATAGATGGCAGCTACCCTGGACCTGACAGAAACAGTGGAGATTTTGACACTTTTGCAAACCTGAGATCCAAAGGATACAAGTTCTGTGAGAAGCCTCAAAATGTTGAGTGTAGAGCTCAGTTCTTTCCCAATACACCTCTGGAGGAGCTGGGGCAGGATGTGACCTGCAATCGAGATGAAGGTTTGATCTGTTTGAACAAGAACCAGCTCCCACCCATTTGTTATAACTATGAGATCCGCATAGAGTGCTGCACAATAGTGGATACCTGTTCCACGGCTTCAACTACCACACATCCTACATCACATGAAGTAAGTACAGAAACAAAGACCACTTGGACCACAAGCTCCCATTCCTCTTCCAGCAAGGACACCAGTACTCTCTCAGCAACCATACACACAAGGAACCGGGCCACAGACAGTCCACACACAATCAGCACACCAGTGACCACCCACTGCCAGCCACAGTGCACCTGGACCCAGTGGTTTGACACCGACTTCCCGGTGCCCGGTCCACATGGAGGGGACCTGGAAACCTACAGCAACATCCTGAGGAAGGGAGAGAAGATGTGTCACCGGCCAGAGGAGATCACACAGCTGGAATGCAGGGCTGAGAACCACCCTGAGCTGAGGGTGGAGGACCTGGGTCAGGTGGTGCTGTGTGACCCCACTGTGGGCCTGGTGTGCAGGAATCGGGACCAGCAGGACACGTCTGGGATGTGTCTCAACTACGAGGTGCGGGTGCTGTGCTGTCGCCTTCCTGAAGACTGCCACACCACCACACGAGCCTCTCTTTCCAGCAGCCCAAGTGACACTGTCACCAGCTCATCTCCTGGCATGACCTCTGTGCATACAGCAACCAGTACATCCATGCACTCGACCAGGACCACCTCTGTGCAGACAGGCAGCACAACATCCATGCCTAATTCCAGACAAACCTCTGGGCAGTCAGCCAGCACCATCTCCCAACCCCAAACCAGATCAACACCTATAGGAAAATCTGTCACCACCTCTGGACAGACAGTCGGCACCACTTCCATTAGGCGCACCAGAACCCCGTCTGTGCAGACAGCCAGCACTACATCCCCCAGGCGCACCAGGACCACATCTGCGCAGACAGCCAGCACCACGTCCCCCAGGCGCACCAGGACCACATCTGCGCAGACAGCCAGCACCACGTCCCCCAGGCGCACCAGGACCACATCTGCGCAGACAGCCAGCACCACATCCCCCAGGCGCACCAGACCCATATCTGCGCAGACAGCCAGCACCACGTCCCCCAGGCGCACCAGGACCACATCTGCGCAGACAGCCAGCACCACGTCCCCCAGGCGCACCAGGACGACATCTGCGCAGACAGCCAGCACCACGTCCCCCAGGCGCACCAGGACCACATCTGCTCAGACAGCCAGCACCACGTCCCCCAGGCGCACCAGGACCACATCTGCGCAGACAGCCAGCACCACGTCCCCCAGGCGCACCAGACCCATATCTGCGCAGACAGCCAGCACCACATCCCCCAGGCGCACCAGACCCATATCTGCGCAGACAGCCAGCACCACGTCCCCCAGGCGCACCAGGACCACATCTGCGCAGACAGCCAGCACCACGTCCCCCAGGCGCACCAGGACGACATCTGCGCAGACAGCCAGCACCACGTCCCCCAGGCGCACCAGACCCATATCTGCGCAAACAGCCAGCACCACGTCCCCCAGGGAGGGGAGGACTACATTTGCGCAGACAGCCAGCACCACATCCACCACCGGCACCAGCACCATCTCTGAGAAGGCAGCTAGTACTACCTACATACCACAAACTAGCTCACCCTCTACCAGAACGTTGAGCACCACCCTCAAAACCCAGACCAGATCATCCTCTACAGAAAAGTATGGAACCACCCCTGTGCAGACAGCCAGCACCACGTCCCCCAGGGAGGGGAGGACCACATCTGCGAAAACAGCCAGCACCATGTCTACCAGTGGCACCAGCACCATCTCTGAGAAGACAGCCAGTACCACCTACATACCCCAAACTAGCTCACCGTCTACAGAAAAGTCCGGAACCACCCCTGTGCAGACAGCCAGCACCACATTCATGGGAAAAACCATCTCTGTGCCTGGGACCACAGTCACCTCTCCTCCTCTCAGCACCACAGGCCCCTGGTCTCATTCCGGGATGAGTTCCTCCCCAGTGACCACCCACTGCCAGCCACAGTGCACCTGGACCCAGTGGTTTGACACCGACTTCCCGGTGCCCGGTCCACATGGAGGGGACCTGGAAACCTACAGCAACATCCTGAGGAGGGAGAGAAGATGTGTCACCGGCCAGAGGAGATCACACAGCTGGAATGCAGGGCTGAGAACCACCCTGAGCTGAGGGTGGAGGACCTGGGTCAGGTGGTGCTGTGTGACCCCACTGTGGGCCTGGTGTGCAGGAACAGGGACCAGCAGGACACGTCTGGGATGTGTCTCAACTACGAGGTGCGGGTGCTGTGCTGTCGCCTTCCTGAAGACTGCCACACCACCACACGAGCCTCTCTTTCCAGCAGCCCAAGTGACACTGTCACCAGCTCATCTCCTGGCATGACCTCTGTGCATACAGCAACCAGTACATCCATGCACTCGACCAGGACCACCTCTGTGCAGACAGGCAGCACAACATCCATGCCTAATTCCAGACAAACCTCTGGGCAGTCAGCCAGCACCATCTCCAAGCCCCAAACCAGATCAACACCTATAGGAAAATCTGTCACCACCTCTGGACACACGATTAGTACCACGTCCACCAGAGACACCAGGACCACCTCTGGGCAGACAGCCAGGGACACCAGGACCACCTCTGGGCAGACAGCCAGCACCACGTCCCCCAGGGAGGGGAGGACCACATCTGCGCAGACAGCCAGCACCACGTCCGCCAGGCACACCAGAACCACATCTGCGCAGACAGCCAGCACCACGTCCCCCAGGCACACCAGAACCACATCTGCGCAGACAGCCAGCACCATGTCTACCAGTGGCACCGGCACCATCTCTGAGAAGACAGCAGGTACCACCTACATACCCCAAACTAGCTCACCGTCTACAGAAAAGTCCGGAACCACCCCTGTGCAGACAGCCAGCACCACATTCATGGGAAAAACCATCTCTGTGCCTGGGACCACAGTCACCTCTCCTCCTCTCAGCACCACAGGCCCCTGGTCTCATTCCGGGATGAGTTCCTCCCCAGTGACCACCCACTGCCAGCCACAGTGCACCTGGACCCAGTGGTTTGACACCGACTTCCCGGTGCCCGGTCCACATGGAGGGGACCTGGAAACCTACAGCAACATCCTGAGGAGGGGAGAGAAGATGTGTCACCGGCCAGAGGAGATCACACAGCTGGAATGCAGGGCTGAGAACCACCCTGAGCTGAGGGTGGAGGACCTGGGTCAGGTGGTGCTGTGTGACCCCACTGTGGGCCTGGTGTGCAGGAACAGGGACCAGCAGGACACGTCTGGGATGTGTCTCAACTACGAGGTGCGGGTGCTGTGCTGTCGCCTTCCTGAAGACTGCCACACCACCACACGAGCCTCTCTTTCCAGCAGCCCAAGTGACACTGTCACCAGCTCATCTCCTGGCATGACCTCTGTGCATACAGCAACCAGTACATCCATGCACTCGACCAGGACCACCTCTGTGCAGACAGGCAGCACAACATCCATGCCTAATTCCAGACAAACCTCTGGGCAGTCAGCCAGCACCATCTCCAAGCCCCAAACCAGATCAACACCTATAGGAAAATCTGTCACCACCTCTGGACACACGATTAGTTCCACGTCCACCAGAGACACCAGGACCACCTCTGGGCAGACAGCCAGGGACACCAGGACCACCTCTGGGCAGACAGCCAGCACCACGTCCCCCAGGGAGGGGAGAACCACATCTGCGCAGACAGCCAGCACCACGTCCCCCAGGCACACCAGAACCACATCTGCGCAGACAGCCAGCACCATGTCTACCAGTGGCACCGGCACCATCTCTGAGAAGACAGCCAGTACCACCTACATACCCCAAACTAGCTCACCGTCTACAGAAAAGTCCGGAACCACCCCTGTGCAGACAGCCAGCACCACATTCATGGGAAAAACCATCTCTGTGCCTGGGACCACAGTCACCTCTCCTCCTCTCAGCACCACAGGCCCCTGGTCTCATTCCGGGATGAGTTCCTCCCCAGTGACCACCCACTGCCAGCCACAGTGCACCTGGACCCAGTGGTTTGACACCGACTTCCCGGTGCCCGGTCCACATGGAGGGGACCTGGAAACCTACAGCAACATCCTGAGGAGGGGAGAGAAGATGTGTCACCGGCCAGAGGAGATCACACAGCTGGAATGCAGGGCTGAGAACCACCCTGAGCTGAGGGTGGAGGACCTGGGTCAGGTGGTGCTGTGTGACCCCACTGTGGGCCTGGTGTGCAGGAACAGGGACCAGCAGGACACGTCTGGGATGTGTCTCAACTACGAGGTGCGGGTGCTGTGCTGTCGCCTTCCTGAAGACTGCCACACCACCACACGAGCCTCTCTTTCCAGCAGCCCAAGTGACACTGTCACCAGCTCATCTCCTGGCATGACCTCTGTGCATACAGCAACCAGTACATCCATGCACTCGACCAGGACCACCTCTGTGCAGACAGGCAGCACAACATCCATGCCTAATTCCAGACAAACCTCTGGGCAGTCAGCCAGCACCATCTCCAAGCCCCAAACCAGATCAACACCTATAGGAAAATCTGTCACCACCTCTGGACACACGATTAGTACCACGTCCACCAGAGACACCAGGACCACCTCTGGGCAGACAGCCAGGGACACCAGGACCACCTCTGGGCAGACAGCCAGCACCACGTCCCCCAGGGAGGGGAGGACCACCTCTGGGCAGACAGCCAGCACCACGTCCCCCAGGCACACCAGAACCACATCTGCGCAGACAGCCAGCACCACGTCTACCAGTGGCACCAGCACCATCTCTGAGAAGACAGCCAGTACCACCTACATACCCCAAACTAGCTCACCGTCTACAGAAAAGTCCGGAACCACCCCTGTGCAGACAGCCAGCTCGACATTCATGGGAAAAACCATCTCTGTGCCTGGGACCACAGTCACCTCTCCTCCTCTCAGCACCACAGGCCCCTGGTCTCATTCCGGGATGAGTTCCTCCCCAGTGACCACCCACTGCCAGCCACAGTGCACCTGGACCCAGTGGTTTGACACCGACTTCCCGGTACCTGGTCCACATGGAGGGGACCTGGAAACCTACAGCAACATCCTGAGGAGGGGAGAGAAGATCTGTCACCGGCCAGAGGAGATCACACAGCTGGAATGCAGGGCTGAGAACCACCCTGAGCTGAGGGTGGAGGACCTGGGTCAGGTGGTGCTGTGTGACCCCACTGTGGGCCTGGTGTGCAGGAACCGGGACCAGCAGGACACGTCTGGGATGTGTCTCAACTATGAGGTGCGGGTGCTGTGCTGTCGCCTTCCTGAAGGCTGCCCTGTGACCCCTGGGCCTCTCCCTGTGACATCATCTCACAAGCCCTCATTTCCAATTGTTTCGACCTCCTCTGTGCCGCCATCCTCATTGTCCAGCCCTTGGGTACACTCTGCCATTCCTTGCTTGTGCAACGTGTCAGGCCTTTTATACCCTATTGGTAAGTGAGATATCTTTATGTAGTTTCCTATGGCACTCTGTTCCCTAATTTTCTTTTGTGAAAATCCTTGGGTTTGGCAGATGGTGCTATAATTGCCTTCAGACATTTCTAGTCTCATCTTTCTTTCATTGCATGGGAAGTCTTGAGGCTGGCAACCCCCTATCTGAGGAGCAGAGTTTTCTCCCACGACCTCCCCAGTCTCTGCATAACTCTTGATCTTGCAGGATCCATCATCTACAACCGGACAGATCTTGATGGCCACTGTTACTATGCATTGTGCAGCCAGGACTGCCAAGTGGTTAGAGGGGTTAGTCAGGACTGCCCCTCCACCATGCCACCGCCTACCCCAGCTCTATCCACCTCTGCCTCTACTGTCACACCTGTCACTGAGCGGGATACGTGCAATGTGTTCCCTCCAAGAATGGTAAGCCTATCTGCTGTCTTTTCTGGAGACTCATGGCCACTATGGAGACCTTGATGTATTTGCAATTATACCTCAGCTTAAGTTCTCACAAAGATCACCAGCCTCTGCTTGACACAGGATGAGCTTTGGGCTGGGTTTTTTTTTTATGACTTTGTATGTCTGGTCTACGGGTGCTACACTAATAGTTGGGTAGTTGGGTGTCAGGGCTGGAGGTTGAAATCCCCCCACCCTCCGTGAGAGTGATGGTGGCAGAGGTGTTGGTACATCCCATGGATGTAGTGGCACATGGAAGGGGCTGACATTCAGCCGTGGGGCATTTCCACATTGTGAACCCTTGTAACCACTTCCATACTTTGGTAGGGATGAGGTGAGGACAGGGCCTGGAATTGGGGTACGGAACCCGGGGAAGTGAGGTGATACCATGGCCTAGGACTTAGACCCACAGCTGACTTTGTTTCTGCAGAAAGGGGAGACCTGGCCTATGCCTAATTGCTCCCAAGCCACCTGTGAGGGCAACAATGTCATCTCCCTGAGCCCACGCCAGTGCCCAGAGGTGAAGGCCCCATCTTGTGCCAACGGCTACCCACCCCTGAAGGTGGATGACCAGGACGGTTGCTGCCAGCACTACCAGTGCCAGTGTGAGTGGGGATAGGGTTCATCAGGGGGAGGCATGGCAGAGGAGGAGAGAATGAGGTAGGCACCAGGGAAGACCTTCCCTTATCAAGTAAGAGATGGGGATGCTAAGTGAAGGGAACTGAACCCTGGAGCCATAGGGCCCAGTGGGAGGAGAATCCCAGAAGCTTATGAAGGACCTGCCAGGCAGAGTCTGAAGGGACCATTTATGTGTGTCACAATAGTACAACAGTCTCAAGAGTTCCTGCTTTGGAGGCAGTGGGGAGGGAGGTTGGACCAGCCTGATGAAAGCCAGGCTCTAAGGTAAGCTCCCGGCACCCACAGGTGTTTGCAGCGGCTGGGGTGATCCCCACTACATCACCTTTGATGGCACCTATTACACTTTTCTGGATAACTGCACATATGTGCTGGTGCAGCAGATCGTGCCTGTGTTTGGACACTTCCGTGTGCTCATTGACAACTACTTCTGTGATCTGGGAGACAGTGTTTCCTGCCCGCAGTCCATCATTGTGGAGTACCACCAGGACCGTGTGGTGCTGACCCGCAGGCCAGTTGGCGGGATCATGACCAACCAGGTGGACATGTCTTCACGGGCGTGCGCACGTTCGTGTGTGTGTGTGTGTGTGTGTGTGTGTGTGTGTGTGTGTGTGTGTGTGTGTGTGTGTGTGGTGTGCGTAGGGGGTTGTGGCAGGCTTGGTCTGGGTTGTGGACCCTAACTCTAAACTCCCTACTACCATCTGTATTCAGATCATCTTCAACAACAAGGTAGTCAGTCCCGGATTCCAGCAGAATGGCATTGTTGTCTCCCGTGTGGGTATCAAGATGTACGTTACCATCCAGGAGATTGGCGTTCAGGTCATGTTCTCAGGCCTCATCTTCTCTGTCGAGGTGCCCTTCAACCTCTTCGCCAACAACACAGAGGGCCAGTGTGGTAAGCTCCACTCTGGATATTGTTTGGGTATCAGGAGCAGCCTCTCCATGGGCCTAGAGGGGTTTCTGATTGTGCACACATGTGGCTTACATCTGTGTATCATCGTGGTTTCTCTGTACACTGGGAACCAAGCTGGCTTCTGGGGAAGTCAGGTGCACAGGAGAGTATATGAGACAAGATGCCAATTCTGACCCTCAGCAAGAGTGCACCAGGCATAGCTCTGCTGCTCAGCTGGCTGACCCTTGTCTCACCTGCAGGTACTTGCACCAATGACCAGAAGGATGAGTGCCGCCTTCCTGGAGGGGCAATAACCTCTTGTTCTGATATGGCTCCCCATTGGAAGGTGCCCAACCAGCCTTCATGCCAAGGGCCTCCTCCAACATCAACTTCAGTGGTACCCAGTCCTTCACCGACCCCGTGCCCACCATCACCAATCTGTGAGCTCATCCTAAGCAAGTAAGATTCCAAAAGGTGGGGGTAGCCTTGCTGGTCCCATCTGCCAAAAGATACCAGGTCCTCAAAAGGCTCCTAAGAAAAATGGGATCAGCCTTGTTCTAGGATCTGGGCACTGTCTCTAGAGATCTTATCAGTCAGTGATTGCTGCTGGAATGCTACTGCAAGGCTGGTGGTGACCATGTTGGCTCATCTCTGGAGTCCTCTGCCAGTTCCTCTCACTGATATGAGCATCAGTCATTGTCTGTACCTGTGCAGGATGCAGAGTTGCAGAATAAGGAAGGCTGAGGGGAGAGACATTTGCAGGAAGTGGTGCTCTGGCTGTTACCTTTCCTGGCATGCACACACAGGCGCATGATGCCCCTTGATTTAGAAGACAGGCTCATAGGTGCTGAGTCCTTGTCCAGGGCCTCATCTCCCAGGGGAAATCGCAGGTCTGGAAGCCCCCACCGTGACTGGTAACCCAAGTAGTATGGATGCACACACTACCATGTCTGTCTTTGTCCTCCCACAGAGTCTTTCAGTCTTGCCACGATGTCATCCCTCCACTGCCATTCTATGAAGGATGCTTGTTTGACTACTGTCACGGCATGGGCTGGGAAGTCGTGTGCTCAGGCCTAGAGCTCTATGCATCACTCTGTGCGGCCCACGGCCGGTGCATCCCCTGGAGAAGCCAGACCAACAACACCTGTTGTGAGTGTCCAGCCAGGCCACCTTCCTGTCCTCTGTTATGAGAATTTAGAGGTGCTAGGCAGATAGTCTGGAAAAGGACACAAAACCTCAAGGCTAGTCTTTCCTGGAGGGAAAAGCTCCAGGCTTTGCGTTTGTTTTTGGGAAAGGGAAGTTATCCAAATTGAGGTAACTGTGGATTTAGGGCCTGGGCTGCCAGCTATATTGGCCAAGCTATAGAGCTAAATGCCTGGGGGAGGGGGACAGGTTGTAGACAGCTAGTGAAGGTTTCTGAGTGGGTGTCGGCACTCAGCAGTGGCTGGGGTCTGGAGGATCCCAGAAGCAGGGCCTTGAATTGGCTTCTCAGGGGTGGCTCTCTCTCCACACAGCATTCACCTGCCCTGCTAACAAAGTGTACCAGCCATGTGGCCCAACCAACCCTTACTACTGCTATGGGAATGATGACCTCAGCACCAGCTTGTAAGTGTCAGCACTCTGCTCACAGGGCTGACAAACCCTGGGCATTCAGTCTTGGCACTTGGCTTTCCTAGTCTGGGTTCTCTCTTACTTGGGGGTGAAGGATCCACCAATTCTCTGTTTCTCACAGGACTCTTCAAGAAGCTGGCCCCTTCACAGAGGGCTGCTTCTGTCCAGATGACATGACACTTTTCAGTACTAATGATTCAATCTGCGTGCCTTCCTGCCAATGTATGTCCCCAGCGGCATGGAGTTGGGGGTTTGGAGGGGCAGATTGTGACTTGACCCCTGATCCCACTATGGTGCCCAACATGGGTCCTGTTCCTGCCCCACCCCTGTGGCCACTCTCAAGTGACAAAACCTCTCTCTACAGGGTGTCTGGGGCCTCATGGAGAACCTGTGGAGGTAGGTATGAATGGTGGTGGTTCCTGGGGGGGGCAGAGCACCAAGACAAAAGCAGTGCAGGGTTGGGGTGAGGTTTTCTTAGTATGCCAAAGGCCAAATGAAGGCAGGAAGAGTGCCAGTGTCCCAACAGGATCCAGGAATGTCTTGTTCTCTGAGGATGACCTGCCTGTGTTCTGGAGCTGCTGGGCATCTCATGAGGACTGGTTAGACCTGTTCTTCCCCGGTACTCTTTCTTTCCTGAGGAGACATGTGATGGGGTGGAGGGGAAGGCTGCTCGCCAAACAAAGCCTTTCTCCCACCTCTGCTGCCACCTCTGCACCTGGACATCAGGCCTTCCCTCCTGAATCCCTCTCCCCACAGCACAACCCCTCAGCACACGTGGCTGCAGCTGTCCTTGGGATGAGCAGCTCACTCACAGGTCAGGTTCATGTATCATTCCCCACAGCCGGGCCACACCATCAGCTTCGACTGCCAGGACTGCATCTGCAAGGAGGCCACGCTGACCTGCCAAAGGAAGCGCTGTCCCCAGACCACCTGCCCAGAGCCTGGCTTTGTGCCGGTGCCTGAAGCCCTGGAGGCTGGCCAGTGTTGTCCCCAGTTCAGCTGTGGTGAGCCTCTGCTACTGTTCCCACACCCGTAGGTAGTACTATCTCCTGGGGAGCCATAGGTATACAGGGTCGGCAGCCAGCTCTGCTCTGCATACATGGTCCCAGGAGGAAAGGAGTAGAAGATATCCATTCTCAGGCTCTGCACACTGCTTGAGTATAGGGACCCTGCTGTGTCCCGATTTGGTAATGTCCTAGCAGGTGATCTTTAGGTGTGTGTGATTGGAGATTCCCCTGTCCAGCCTGACCAGAGCCTGCTCCTGGGGTCCTGGGAACTGTCATGACATCCTGTGGTGGGGTAGATCCTTGGAGCAGAAAAGAAGCAAGCATAGGGCAAGCCCAGTCCCTGACAGCTTCCTCTACCCACAGTCTGCAACTCTAGCCACTGCCCTCCTCCTCTGCACTGCCCGGAGAACTCCAGCCTGATGGTCACATACAAGGAGGGAGCTTGCTGCCCAAGCCAAAACTGCAGTGAGTGTCCCTGATCCTTGCACCAAGCCACACTGGGACCTAGAACTTCCCAGGGGACAAACCAGATGAAGCTACTGATGGTTGGAGATGGGTTGTTGCTTGGTGTGGAGCTCTTGGTTGGAAGGAAGTCCAAGGTTCTCCAGTATCTAACAGCAGAGCCTATTGATGTTAAGAGTCAGTCTGTGCCCTTGCAAGGCCAAGGCTACAGCCAGTATGTCTCTTGAACAGGTCGAAAGGGCTGTGAATTCAACAGGACTCTCTATCAGGTAGGAACCACTGGTGCTCAGGCCTTACAGCCTACAAGGACTGAGCTTTCCATTTGGGGATCTCCACCAGCCCTTTGGAGCTCAGGTGGTGATCTGAGAAGCTGAGGAGTTCTTGAGTCACTGCAGACCCTGGCACAGAGCTCCTGTCCAGACCAACAACAGAAGCCCCAGTGGCTGTAGCTCAGATCAGTGCAGTTAAGGTTGGCCCCAGGATCCTTGAGGCTGCCAATGCCTGGTGTCTGAGCCCATCAGGGTTCTAGCAGCTCTCTGCTCCCTGAAATCATACTGGGTATGCCAGCACCTCATTTCCCCCAGCTGTGCTCTCCCCACACCAGTTCCCAGGTGTGTAGTATCTTGGGTCCCCTGACACAGAGACATAGTATTGACAGCTCTGCCCTGTGACAGCACCTGAATTATGGCCTCTTTACAATAAGGTAACATTAAGGATCATCTCCTCGAGAATGCGTCAGCTTGGTGGGCAGCCAGGGCAAGGCCAGCCAGAGTATAGGGCAGGTCTCTTCCCAGCTTGAGTCCACTAATGGCCAGCCCTGACTCTTTCCAGCCTGGTGATGTGGTCTCCTCCAGCCTATGTGAAACATGTGTGTGTCAAGCACCCAGCAATCCCCATTCAGATGTCTTTGTGATCAGCTGTGAGACTGAGCTTTGCAACACCCTGTGCCCTACGGTGAGCACTGACCCCATCCCTGCTCTCATCACCCTGTGCTGATGGCCTGAACTCAGGCAGAGTACCATTCTTCCTGCAGGGCTTTGAGTACCAGGCCAAACCAGGACAGTGTTGTGGCAGGTGTGTGCAGAAGGGCTGCACCTTTAAAAACAGCAACAGCTCTACTGTCTACTACTACCCTGTGAGTACCTGGGACTATGCTAGGTGACCTCAGAAAGGGGACTAGATGAAACAGCAGACCACAGGCTCTGAAAAGCCACCATAATCTCTAAGGAACCACTCAAAGCCCCAGGCCCAGGTATAAAAAGCATGAAGAAGACAGCATTTGAACTGAACAATCAGGGTCCTGGGGGCACTAGACTCTGAGTGGCCTAAATCCTGGAGGCTCAGGGATGATCAGGCAGGGTCCTAGGGACTCCGGTTGAATATGCAGGGTCCTGGAACCTCGGGGGCACTTGGGAAGCCATCTCCGGCAGACATAGGCCTGGTTTATGCCACTGTCTTCTGGAAGATAATAGGCTGTGGGAGACAGAGGTTGGGCACTCACTATGCAGGCTGGGCCTCCTTTCAGCCTGGTGAGTCCTGGTCAGAATCTGGGGACCCCTGTGTGACTCATAAGTGTGAGCAGCTCCAAGACGTATTCATAGTTGTGACAACGAAGAGGGAGTGTCCCAAGGTCAACTGTCCACAGGTAAGTCTGGACTTTCCCACCCCAGCCAAGGAGGCAGCTTGCCTGGAGATGAGGGGAGGCCAGTGCCACATGGCCACCAGCTTGTCCCCTTCCCAGTCTTGTTTGCATTCGGCCCCATGTCTCATTCCTCCCTTTCTGGATGCCTCGTTGCCCCTGGCGTTCACAATGACCCATTGTTGGCACAGGGCCAGGTTCAGCTGAGAGAAGATGGTTGCTGCCATGACTGTCTCAGTCTCGTCCCCCAGCAGAGTAAGTGGGGGCTTGACAAGGAAGGGCTTGATCCCAGCTTGGGGCACTCAGGAAACGACCTAGCAGATACTGACCCTCTGTCTCACTTCCTGTCCTCCCAGAATGCACAGTACACCAAAGACAGCAGATCATCCGTCAGCAGAACTGCAGCTCTGAGGGACCAGTGAGCCTCTCCTACTGCCAGGGCAACTGCGGGGACAGCACCTCCATGTACGAGCCCTGGGGAGCCTCAGGAGACAGCGATCAGAGATGCAATCAGAGTGGGGATGGGGTGGAGTGTGTGGTGCCCTCGGGTCCAGGAGCAGAGCAGGGAGGGGCAGAACCAGGAGGGGGAGAAAGAGGGTGCAGGGCTACTGGAGGAGACTGTTATGATAACTTGAGCATCCCAAGCTGGCATCAGCAGGGTTCCAAGGCGCTTGTGCTATGGTGACCACTTTTGAAGCAGGATTTCTGTTTGTGGAAGTATCTCAAAGGTACAAATCCCAGTCCCACAGCAATGAGCTGCTGTGCATCTGGCTGCAGATTTAGGACACCTGGTGGTCAAGGGCGGCTGTGGCAGAAACATTTGCCTCAGGGCAATTGGCAAGTGAGAGCAGCAGGGTTTTGAACACAGGGTGACAAAGACCTCAGGAGCTTGGCACTGTGCCCACTGGACACACAGCCTGTGGCAGGTGTGGGCAGCTCCTGGCAGGTCTGGGTGCTGAGCAGGTCTACCCACAGGTACTCCCTGGAGGCCAACGCAGTGGAACACAAGTGCGAGTGCTGCCAGGAGCTGCAAACCTCGCAGAGGACTGTGACTCTGCACTGTGACGATGGCTCGAGTCGCACCTACAGCTACACCCAGGTTGAAAAGTGCGGCTGCCTGGGCCAGCGGTGCCATGCTCTAGGTGACACAAGCTACTCAGAATCCTCAGAATCGGAGTTCAGGCCCAAGGAAAGTAAAGAACATGGCCAGCTGTCCGCATCTGGGGCCAGCAAGGAGGTGCCTGGGCCTTCCCAGTAAATTGAACAGCATAGCTGTCCCAGCACACCACCCAAAGGTCCTCCTGAGGCCAGCAGGACATGTGCTGCGTGTTCAAGTGGCTTGAACTCCAGACTTACCTACCCACCACTTCCTCTTCAAGAGGGACATCAACCCCAGCTGTCCTTGGAGGAGGGAGAGGTCCTTTCCACCATTTAGGAGCCTGGGGGCCACTGGACTCCTTTGGAAAGAACTTCAGTATCAACGAAGGAGTCAGTTGCATGCGGATGTCATCTGCTTGACTTCACCTCAGTCCTGCACCTGTGCCCCTTTCAGGAAATGGCCAATTTGATTTATAAATACACTCAGAGCATTTGTGGATTCTGTGTGTGTGTGTGTGTGTATTATTTTTTAAACATGTCCATATATATAGGAACTGAATAAGTGCAGGCTTGGACTTCAGTGGGATTATACTTCAGGCTGTTCACTAGGGGCTTGGCAGACTGGTGAAGGCCACTGGGGAGCTCTCTGCCTCTATTTGCTGGGAGGATATGTCCCAAAGGTGACAATCACTACATAGAAGTAAACTAGAGTCTGGTTGATGCTCAGAGTCAGAAGCATCCTGGAAGAGGATGATGAGGGGGAGAATGAATGAGTGAGTGAATTAGTGAATGAGAAAGTGATTAAATGAGTGAATAAATGAGGGAGTGACTGAGTGAATAAGTGAATTAGTGAGTGGATGAATGAGTGCGTGAGTGAATGAACTAGTGACTGAGGAGATTAGTGAATGAATGAATGAATAAGTGAGTGACTGATAGAATTAGTGAGTGAGTAAGGCCATGGATAATGACATGCTTGAAAGATGGAGGAATGGAATGGGTATACAAGTGATTGAGTGGATAGATGAGTGAACCAGGGAGCAAGTGGATGGATGATTGAACAAATGAGTGGATGAATTAGTGAGTACATGGAAGAACAGATGAATGAATAAGTGGATTGGTGTATGAGTGGATGAAGGCATGGGTGGTCACGTGGTTAAACAAATGAGTGAATGAATGAGTAAGTGCATGAATGTATGAATGAAAGAAGGGACCTGATGGTGGCCAGGCTGAGCCAAGCACGTCTAGATATCTTACTGTTCAGAGAGAGAGAGAGGCCTGAAGTGGCAGCTGAGTAGCCCCTGGGAGCCCATGATCATGCACTTACCACACTCCAGTGCTTAGGGGTTCCAGCTTCATCAACAGTGGGCACATGGAGGGCAGGAGGATGAGTATCCCTAGAGAAGACACTGCAGGGGGAGTGAGATGTCAGCCTTTTGGAGCCAGAAATTTGCTAGGAGGTTGGAGGATAGGGTAGGAGATAAACAGCTAGACTTTGTTGGATGCCTGGAGGCAGCCTGGGACTCGGGCTAGGGTTCTTAGACATGTGGTCACTGGGCAGGTATGGGGTGAATGGAGCGGGGTATAGTCAGACTGTCTAAAAGTCTCTGGTGTGGCATGAGGGGAGGAACACAGTTCTCATGCCCAGGTCTTTGTCTCACCCAGCAAGGCAGCATGCTGGTGGCCAGCACAGTGTACATGGGAATCCAGACTCGTGTATACAAGCCCAGCCTTCAGGAGTTCAATGTCCATTGCTTCTGTTGTACGCTGCCTCAGATATAAGAACCAGGGTCAGCTGGGTCTGGCTTGAGGTCCAGGGGCCTGCAACTTTTTCATGACCTGTTTGGAGTTCAGTTGTTTTCCTCAATGTTGCCATAAAGTGATGCAAGCCCAGCTCTGCACCTTTGTAGTGTTCTGAATCTGGGCTTTTGTTCTTGGATGGTCTGTCCCTTGAGGATAGCCCAAGGCTGAACTGAAGCCCTAGGGGTGCAAGAATTTCTCTGGGGTCTTAGGGCTGCAGGTTCCAAGGGAGAGTGTAAGGACAGCCCTTCAGTTCTTCCCAAGCATCCCCACTGCACAGACAAGCTTTGGGTTCAGCTGAAGAACTAAAGTCCTTATCCTTTCATCTGTCTGCCTCCCAAGTCAGTCATGGCTTGGACTGGTCCTTAAGTCACCTTCGGGTCCATTCTGCCTGAATGTAGTCTTCAAGCTTAGGAAATTAGGGCTCACCTAAGATATATCCAGTTCTTATGGGGTCCCTAGGTCTGAAAGCTTTTGTCCTAATGGCAGGTCTCCTGGTATTTGGGTTTCAGACAGACAAGTCCTGCCTGCGTGATATTAGGGGTTCCAGACTTCTAGGTGAGTCCTACAGCTGCCCTGCTTCCTTGAGGGTATTTACTTCCAGTGGTTTGGGCTGCCTCAAAGCTTGAGTATCCCTATAGTGCTGAGAGGGTCACTTCCTGGCTGAGACCCTGTGACCTTTTGCACAGGCAGGAAGTGTAAGCTGTGAACCCTGAGGCTGGCTGGCTCTGCAGGTCTGCTCTGCTGCCTGGCTCACCCCACTGACCTCTTAGTGGCTGCCAGTCCCTAATCAGTGTCATTGCCCCCGGAGAGGATCAGGTATCCCAGAGAGCCGCCTCTTCCTCTCTGAGTGGGGCAGTGCGGTGGTGACTAATCCCCTAGCTCTTGGAATACCCACAGATTGAGGTCCCCCTGTGCGTCATTTCTGCCTAGAACCATGGCAGGTGTGCTGGCAGGAAGCAACCGGATCGCATGCCCCTGGGTGGGAGTGGCTACCTTCCTCACCTGCACACCCTGCCCACCACAGCCTCAGCCAAATTGTGCAATGCATTGTTTCTGGAAAGAGCTGAAGAGTGGGGCAGGGGCCCACACATACCATGGTGGTAGTCTCCACCCTGACCACAGGGGTAGCCCCTTGACCCCACACCCTGGACTTCGGGACTTCGCATAGAATGGGGCAAGAACATTTTATTGCTGAAATATCTGAATGAGGCCCAGTAGACCCGGGCTGGCCCCCATTGCTCCAGAGGGCACAAGGTCTTGAGAAAGACTAACTTGAGGAGCTTTGTAGGAAGCACAAAGCTCCACGGCTTGGGAGTTTCCAAAGTTAAGAACTGGATAAACAGGGCAGGGTAGGCTCCCGATCCCTCACACAGCACTCCAGTGCTTTGCTCACAGTGGGAAGCCTGCTTGATCTGAGGCCAGAGCCAGCTCCTTGTGACTGCCCTGGGAAGGCAGAGTGGAAAGGGAACCCTTGTCTATCAGTCTGCGGACAAGAGGAGGGCAGGGTAGTCTACCAGGGCTCGGAGGTGAGAGGCCTCCTCAGGTCCCATTGCCTAACTCCAATTGACCTGTGGTTTTCCAAAGGTTAAGACAATGATGGCTTGGCACTTGAGGTTGTGCTGATGTCCAGAAGTGGGGAGAGACCCCTCAGTGCTTCTACATGCAAGCAAAAAGTACTTCTGTCCACAGTCCCAAGATAAGATGACCAGAGAGGACACTAGCGCAGACATGTACACACATGCTCAGCCACCACAGTGGCTGCCATAGTTGCCCTACCCCCACCTCAAGGAGGCTGTTCAGATCCCCAACCCAATGGTCTGCCCCTGAGGTCTCATTGCTGAGTGCTGGATTTCTGGGCCCTGATAGGAATGTTAGGTAGAGTACAGGCATTTAACTGTCCCTAAGACAGATCACATCTGACACAGCCAACCATAAATCCATCTTCCTTCAAGGCAAACAGCTTGGGGCTCTGTGACACTCCAGTCAACTGCCAGCAAGCAGTGACGAAGCCCACTTTACCATCAGCAGGTCCCCAGGACTGTGCCTAGTTCAGGCCCATCTGACAATACCATTTCCCCATGTAAGAGTACAAAGGGTTCCCCCTTAGAGGTGCAGACTCCAGTGATCCTAGTCTGAGCAGGGGACTCTGGACTCCAGTGATCCTAGTCTGAGCAGGAGACACTGACTGGGACAGAAGTGTCTAAGGGCACCTGCCAGGACAGCCTCACTGAACCCACACCCTGGCTTCATTCTCATCTTCCCACCCAGAGGAGCCCTCAGAGGGTCCAAAGAACACCTCAGCTGTGCTTCAGAGTGGGGTAGCCCCCAAGGAGACCACACCTCTGATATTTCCCAGGAAAGAGGGACAGACACCTTACCTCACATACTGTAACACAGCCCAGGGGGGTCAGATGTTTCTGTCATTCCTGGAATCGAATTTCTTCCTGCACCCCCAGCCAGTTCCACCAGGATAGGGGTTGCTTCCTCCCACACAGCCTTGCTCAGCATGAAGCCAGGTCAGGGGTTCCCTCTGCAAGTAGATCATTTTCTGACTGGTCACTGTTCAACAAGCTCCCACAGCCTGAGGCTGTGCCCAGCTTCAGCAGGCAGCTCCTGAGCCTCAAGGTTCCACAAAAGATGGGCACCCCTGAGACTCCCTTTCCTGCTGCGAGCCCTGGGGGACCTGGGAAGAAGGACCCCCAGTATAGAAATCATATAATCAGAATGTGCTCTGAGCCCTTGTTCCTGGTATCCTGCTAAAGTAGCCATGCTGGGACCAGAGCCTGTGTTAGCTTAGGAAGTCCCTGGCCACTCTCTGAGACCTGGGATGCTGTCCTGAGATTGTATCCAAATGTCTCTGCGGTGATGATTAGGCTGGTTTGCAAACTCTGCTTATAGAGAGCTCAGTGCCATTGCTCCCTTGTTTGCATGTGGGGGTGTGTCCAGGCATACCTGCAGGTCCCAGGTTGATGTGGATGTGGACACTTAGGCTCATCTGGACAGTCTTGGCCCTGTAGGCAGGAACTCTCTCCACTCCTTAGACAGTAACACATTTACTCCTCTTCTTAAGGAGGGATGTGACAGTAGCTCCGAGCTGACCATCTCTGGGCCTCGGGTAGCAGCCCCTCTCCAGACATGAACTGAATGGGCAAGAGACCCTGCAACTAAGTCATCCCTTTAGGTATCCATTGGTCTTTCTTATGGCAATGCTGGTGGCAACTCAGAACATACTGGCCTCAGGCAGCTCTGACCCTTTTTCCTCCTGGAGCATGGACTTACAGCTAATGCACTTCCTCCTTGTTCTTTTCTAAACACTGTCCCTGTCCCTGCTGTGGGGTGACACAAGAGGGTCCAGACACAGGAAGGTCTGAATGTGGAAAGTTTTCTGGGCCCATGTCTCCAACAAGAGACGAGTTGTGCAGGGCAGACTATGTCTTCCATTTCCCAGTGCCCAGATCTGCATGGGGTGTGTCCTTTGGCTAGGTTGGGGCTTCCATAGCTCAGCCACCACAGGGGCCCTGAGACTGGGTGATGTGAACTTGTTGGGGAGAGGCCAGTGCAGCCTGGGTGTGAGTATACAGTCGGCTTTTGTATCAGGCATCTCTCTCAGCACAGGGCAATGCGGGGAGGAGGCCACTGGCCTCTCAGCAAACCTCGCGGGTAGCAAGTCAACAACAGGGTTCCTGGAGGGGAGGGAAG